TGTCCTTTCCGTATTTCATAGGCCCCTCTGAATCTACTGGCCGTCACAGTCACACAATGAGCATTGTCTGTCACCTTACCTGACATAGCCTCCACACATCATAGTACTGGACAAATAGCTGCCATCTCATGGACAGAGTCACCTGTTACACCTGGTATTGACCCTCCTAGTCCTATTTCTCTCTGGAAACTTGATTTGTTTTGGGAACATATACAGCATAATTTGTATGTCTCATTGGCTAGCTGCACTTATGTGGCAAAATTAGTTTTCACTGAGTGTTTTCTAAGCATCCTGGTCCCATGGTCCCTCCTTAATTTAGACTATGCTTCCAGTTCACTCCATGTGGTGAATAGGAACAGTGGAGTACACAGTACATTCTAAATAGCTAATTTACTGAAATTGTGAAATTTTAGTAACCAATGCATTTCAATTATTTGGCACATGCCTATTTTATTTAATGTATCTTATATGAAGATGCAAATTAAAAACATTTCAGTTTCATAAAGTTCCAAAAAAAATCACATATATCCAGTTACTAATCTCAATCAATGGTTCTCAAACTTCAGAGGATGTAAAAGTGACCCAGGAAACTTATTGAAAAGGGAAGACTTCCATACTTCTTCCCACCAGCCTGTGATCCTCAAGATTCTGGGTCAAGAGGGGAACTTTAACACCATGGGCAACTTTGACGCAGACGATCTGTGAACCATACTCTAAAAATAGTGCAAGCAAATATTTCAGCAAGTTTGCCCTAATATTTGTGAACTGTAAAAGAAACAATATTCTGCTTTGTACTCAGTCCTGCATCTCAACATAATAACTGAAAGAAAATGGACAGTGAGCAGAAACTCCATAGTTCTAATCTCTTACCTATGTCCAGATTCTCTGTAGGGGCAGGAAGGAACAGTCACAAAGGAGCTAAAGAATGGCAATAAAATAGCCCTTGGTTTTTCCCTTCACCAACTAATACTATTACAGGGAATCATCAGTGAGAGCCTTCGTGTTAATTTCATATGTATCCAGAGTTTAGAACATACCAAATGGGTTTAAAAGTAAAGAACATGTCCAAAAGCCATGACACAGTAATATTCCTCTCTCTATATATTTTTTTAAATAAAGTCAAAGTGTTCCACTTACTCTAATAACTAGCTTCATCAAAGTACTAGCTTGCTTTTTACTTCCTGTTTTTTTTGTTTGTTTTTAGCATTACCGTGTTTCACTTTACATGAAGACTCTATGTTGTTTCTTTATTTTAAAATGCAGCTGAGTGATGCATTTACTTGCTTAATTTTTAAAAAGTTAAATGAAAGTGATTTAAGTTGCTCCTTAGCTTGGCGGAGTAAAGTACGGGGGGCAAGGTGGGGAGAGGGGATATTCCTGGGGAGGAAGATCAGAATTTCATTTTGCAGGATTTCAGTCCTCAGACTGAAACTCAGATCTGAGGGAGAAAAATAATAGAAGAAAACATACACATTATCTAAACATAAACAACACCATAAAAACTCGGAAGTTTAAAGATCTTGCTATTTACCAAGCCTTTCCCACCATTTGCTGGTTAGCCAGCTCTGTTCATTACAGGTCAGTCAGAGAACGGCAGGAGGCCTCGTCACTAGCAAGGCACAGAGAAAGTGTGTGGGGGGTACGAGGAGATTGGCATTTGAATTGAACGTGATTTTTCATTTCAAATTTATTACCTAAAACCATGGAAGGCTTTTAGGCAGGAGAGTGAGATCATCGTATTTGTTCTTTGATGGTAGTTGGAAGGACGAAAGAGATTGGAGGCACAAACACCTTTACAGCTGAATGATGTTGAGGGTTTGAAACAGGACACTAGCTGGAGAAACACACGAAGAGAGGTGTAGAGGACAGAAGTAGAGTACTCCTGATGCTCATGAACACTCAGCTTGGGAGTAGCAGAAGCACTTCACTCACTGGAATAGCCCACTTCTATGGCATTATCTGGAATTTTTTTTACCGGTATTAAGTGCTTACTATGTGCCAGGTATCATGTGATGTGTTTCATAGGCGTTGGCTCATTCCATACTCACATCCACCATGTCTTGTCCTATCCTAGAGTGTGTGGGTAGACGAATAGCTGATTCATTTCTTACCTTCTCTTACCAGCACCGTCTACATTAGGAAGGCCTTATATAACTAAATGGGAAAGGTATTAAATGACTATGCAAAAAATGAATGAATAAATGAATGAGTGAAAAAAACGTGTTTAAAATTCTCAGAAAATTTGGCAGTATGGGACAACAAATAAGATGTGCCATGCAAAAAGAGAACGATGCTGAAGATTCTGTTTCAAGGCTAAGTAATTAGGAGGACACTATATACAAAACCCAGGAGAACCTGATTTGATGTGGTAACATGTTTGTCTTTTTACATAATAAGTTTAAAGTATTAGGTCTCACAGAAGAACTGAATAAGAACTGTAGACCTACATATAGTATCGTGTAATTTCTTGGAGCTTCAGTTATACAAGAAGGTTGAAATATGATGGCTCTAAGCACTTAGAAGGAAAGGTGTTTTGTTCTCAGAATGTTATTGCCTAAGGAGTTGACCTGGTGTCAAGACTTCAATGTGAAGCCCAGGAAAAGGTTGGATGAAGACTAAAAGGAAGGCTGTAGGCAACATCAGATTTTGCACAACAAAATGGGAAACCAAGATAACCAGTTAGGGAATGAAAAAGAAAAGCGGAAAATGATATGAATAAGAGGTAGCTTCCTTAATACCAAGAATGAGAGACTTGGAAACTATTATGAGCCATGAAGTCCCTTTCACAGGTAAATCACTGGTTAAGCTTCTGGGAAAGATGAATGACATCATGGTAAAATGTCAGCTGTAAAGCAAAATGGAGACTGGAGCTATGACTCTTCCCAACTAAGCATCCTCTTCTCTCATATAATATTAGCAGCTAACATATATTGAGTGCTCGGTGTCAACTCTTTTTATGAATTAACTCTTTAAACTCCGACAACACAGCAAGTAGAGTCCTCCAACTCCCTCATACCGGTTCTACAAGTGAGGAAACTAGACTCAAAGTTAAGTGACTTCTGAAACTCCACAGTTAGTAAGGGTGGAGATGGGAGTTTGCATCAAGGCACTTTTTCTGGAGTCTTTGCACTTACTGTTATAATGGTGGCTGCCAAAGAGACTTAAACTCCCAGGCGAGCAACTGCTTGCCTCTGAGACAAGCCATCTTTCTAGCAGGACAGCTAGGAGAACAGCTAAGGAAGGGCTTTGACAGGAGGAATCTTATATGTATATAATTTTTATAAGGTTTTAGAATTAGTGCCCATTTTAAGAAGTGGATATGCTTCATTCCATCTAATTACTTTCATAGTATTTCAAACTAGGCAAGCCTTTGCGGATGCTTCAACAATCTTTGCAATATATGTTCTGAACCATTGGATATATAATACCCAGTTATCAAGTGATTACTATGAAGACATACTCAATCGACAAACATTCTAAAGACAAAATAAAACAACTCTTTCCATTATCCAATTTTCTTAATTGATTTTTGTTAATATAAATAGGTTGTATATGTGATTTATTTAAAATCAGTATTATTAGGAGTGCCCTTTAGGTGGATAACTCTGTATAACTTCCATGTTTAAAACCCATTTTTTATTCAAATGTCTTATAGTCACCCCAGGAAAAGAGTTCTCTATTATTATCCCCCACTTTAGGATGGGAAAAAAAGCAGACACAGAGAAATTATTCAACTTAACCAATATCTCATAGCATTACAATTTTTAGAATAGAAAATTATATAAATGTGGTGATAACAATGGACCAATGATCTCTCTAAATCAAACTTTAACATTCTAAAAAATGTAGCACAGGATTCCAAAGAGACTCATTTCTCTAAGTAAGAAAATAAAATCCCATAAGCTCATATCAGACACATGATTAATGAACTCATACTAATTTTTAAAAACTACTCAATTTACTTTATCATAACTAGTAATATACAAGAATTTTGAACATAATTTATTAAAAATAACTTTGAGAAGTAGCATATTTGACTGAGCAGTAATAAAACTATTAAAAAGATAATCTGATTATTGAATAATTACCCAATATCAATCTTTAAAAAATGTTATAAGCTAACCTTGTGAATTCAAGATAGGTATATCACTAATAAGCTTAAATATTAGAAATACATTTAAAATGTCCAAATGGTTAGCACATATAGAAAATCACTGACTGAAATCAGCCGTGAAACCTAGCCTGGAATTTGGTTGACTATTAAGTTTAATTTTGTCTTAGTCTTTCAAAATTTAAATAGTTTGCTCTACATTCATTAAAAATTTTTAATTTTAAAATACTAAAAAATAACTTTACAAACATATAGGTATGGCCAGAAATGTCATCTAAAAAGTTATAAAATAATTGTTCCTAGAGCTTTCACAATCCCTGTATTTCAAAGTTTATTTTAAAAACCATCACTACTTTTTATTTATAAACAGTATCCTTACATTAAAGACATGAGCTGTAAAAATTCTATTGTATACGAAATAGCCACATCACAATTTCCATTACACTATTCTTTTTGTTAACATAGAAAGTTGCATCTAATAAAAATATGACACATTTCTAGTTTCAAAGGCAAAATTAAAGGTTCTTTGTTGAAGAGATAATGAAGCAATCACCAAGATATTTGAAATAAGAAAGTTGACTTTACATTGATTTTAAGAAAAACCAAGAATACATGCCCTCATATAAAATAGAAATGGAATAATTCACTTTATAAGAGGATAAAAGAGAGATGGTTTTTAAAATATTTAAATTCTTCAACCCAAGTAAAAATTTTAAAAAACAAAGAGGAGAGAAAGAGAGAGATAGCGGGAAAGAGAGAGGGAGATGGAGAAGGGAAAGGGGAAGGGAGAAGGAGAGAAAGAAAGAGATGGGTCCTGGAGGGAGAGAATGAGGGAGGGAGTGAGGGAGGGTGGGAGAGAAAGACCCAAAACCTTGCAATAGTGAAAATACATTCTTAAAGCACTTTTAAACTTAAATTCGACAACGTGGGTAACAGGAAAGATAGATTCAGTGCAGGATTTCATATAGAATACAACCTAGGAACCAAACTCTACCAAAATAAGTCAGTGCCTAGTTGGAAATCTCCTTATGAAGAATGATCACGTTACAAGAATAAAACAATATTTGAATATAGTATATATACTTTAGAATGTTTAGGAGAACAGTCTTCAAGCACCACACAATTAATTAACTAGGTAATCAGAGATCACATTAAAGCAAAGTCTCTACAATTTTCTATCAGGTTATACTTTAAGTAGTCCATGATATAGACTTGAATTAATTATATTTTATTGCACTATAAATTGGCTGTTGTTATTATACCCAAATGTAAACAATAATGCACATCAAAATAAAGGGAAAAAAGTCCCAAACATAGTATCTTCTTTTTCAAAAACTTAGCTTTTAATTAAAAAAAAAAAGGTGATAAAGCCACTGACACTTGTAGGATTTTAAGAAGGCATTCATCTCTTTATGCATGTTTCTGCTAGTGTCTTAAATTTGGGTTCCAAATGATCCAAAAATTCAAGCCCATCCTCTTCTTGTCGTTCACTGCAACAGCCTACAGAACCAGCCACTGATCCCTTTCCTTCATAGTTGTATGTAAGGACATAGTCTTGGGCATGCTTATGATTGTCATCCTGATTACACAGCTGTACCTTCTGCCAAGGGAAAAAACAGAACATATTTTATTACTATTATTTTAAACACCAAAACTTACTAACAGAAAAATAATGGCTTTGATTTACCTTTCATTGTTTAATTTTTAATCAGAGTGTGTCCTCTAATGGATTCCTACATATAGAAAATTCACATGATTGGTCTGTATGGTAAATCACACTATAAATACACTATATAGCCTGTTTCTAAAAGTCACACATGTGACGGCAAGTATAAAAGTGTCTATTTTAAGTAATCATTACTTTTCCTTCAAAATTTTGGCTAAAGTGAAATGCATCCATTAAATTTAACCCAAATTAATATGGGCTCAGATCTTTCCACATAGGCATAATGACTGCACAGACTAGAATTACCTTGTATCACACTTTTGATTTCTAAGACAAGACTTGTCAGGCGGGAAATAGTACCACAAAGTCATGAGAAATATCATTTAACTATCTCACAGTATTTCAGTAAGAACTAAAAATACAACAAAATGTGATTAAAAGTAAAGATCCACTTCAGATCCGAACATAATAACTAAATCAAAATTAAGGAAATCTTAGTAGACTAATAATTAAAAATAAAGATCAGACCACTAAATTATAATTATTTAGAAAGTTGAAAAGAAATCAAAATAGATTTTTGTAGGACACGTAGGGAAACTCACTTCACCGAGATGGGGCTGAGTGAAATTATGCCACTCAGAGTAAGTGTATTTGCAGTTGTCCACCTCCACGAGTCCTCCCCTGCAGGGGTCCAGGGTGTGCTGTCCGCCTCCTTTATATGATTCCAGAGTGTGATGATGACCAGCCCCCTGGCACGATTCCAAGGTCTGGTGTCTTCCTTTCACCATTTCAATGGTCTCCTGCCCTCCATTTTTCACTCCCTGACCAGAACTGTCCACAGTATGAATTGTGAAGCCATTCGTGGAACACTGAAATGGAGCAGTTTGCATTAGGGAAATACAGAGGAGAAAAACAAGAAAGAAAGAAAAAGAACACACTATGCAGATAATGCCATGAATTTTTGTGCTAGAAGGTAAGCTCTCTGAGGGCAGGAACTAAATCTGGGCACTCATGAGTACCTAGTTCTTGGAACCCCAGTACTTCATCCATTGTCTAACACAAGAAACAAATTGCTGATGTCGAGGGATTTGTACCTTAAGACAAATCAAAAAGCTTAATTTCTTTTTTAAAAACTTTTTAGAATACTGTACAACTTCAGTTGTTAAAGCCTTCCAGAGTCTCACACCTCAAAATAAAGATTCCAAGACTATTGTCTCACATGCATTTACCTTTAGTTTAAATTTATTCCCTTCACCTGACTAGAGCAGAAACAGAAATAATGATTAGTATTTTTATTCAGTGTCTCATCTAGGCCCCCTATAACTAAAACAAAAATAATAGAAATAAAGTTGCCATAAAAATCAGCTGTAATAATAAATCCTTGCAATCTAAAAAAATAAAAAGAAATCAGCAGCGAAAATAAGAACACCAAAGCTCTGGCCACTAATTTTCTATGTTGTGTTTTTATAGGAAACTTTTATCTTTTCCAGTACCTTCCTAGATGCCAGCATCCTTTGGTTTTCTAAATCTTCCCTTCTCTGATCATCGATTATGCTTTTTGTAGGGAATTTACTTATTACTCATCCACATACTAGGCTAGAAATCAAAATTGGGGCAATGTAATTACTTGCTGGCAGTGCTTATTTCAGATATTTGACCTAAGGCTCCTTTCTAACCCACATTAGAGTCAGAAGACTCCATTAAAGTTCTTCTCACGCTGATCAAAGCTCGTAGTCCATTTTATTGCTGTTGCCAGGAAAAATTAAAACAATTATGCTAATAATATGTAAATAATTAAATGGAACATTTTTTTACAACACAAACAGCAGTTTCAATATATAAAGAAGACTGGGCCTAAAGTTGAAATTATGAGACATCTGAAGTAGAAGATAACAATGACATGATGAAAGATTTTTACTATTAAGTAGCAGCACATGGCTAAATTGAAATACCATCTGTTGCCATGGGAATCAATGTCGTTTTATCTGTTCTATGGGACCGTGACGTTTTACATATAGTAAGTTACCTGATTTCAAAAGAACTTTGTTCAGAAAAGATAATTATAGTAGTTAGGCCAATTTATTCTTTGTATTTATTTTAAAAAGACGGACTACTTACCACTTTGTCATCTCCAGGAGCTTCAGTGTTTGACACAATGAGGTTCTGCTGGGCTAAATCATCAGGAAATACTTGTGGTTTTTTGGCTGCTCCAGTTGCCCCACAAACTAAGGTAAATAAAACACCTGAAGAATGAGAGAAATTACTTTAGTTTATCAAAAACAATGCGAAGTTATGAACTTATGATGACTAATACAAAGATAGTTTTCTAGAAAATATATATTATAGCTTGTGTCAAAGTAGCATACAATAGAAAAGGTCTCCTCTAAGCAGATATGCCACAAAGACAAGCTAAACGCTTGTATTTCTGTGTTAAAATTTCTGATTATGTTGAGCTAACACTAGAAGTGTACATGTACTTTCACTATGTAAGTTAAATATGTGTGTACAAAATAGAAATACAACTGTATGTTAAATAGAAATACAACTATATACAAATGAATAGCACATAAAACAGTGTTGACCTATGAATGTGTCTTGAAAGTTTTTTTAAGGCTATTATTTGAGTTTATAAAGGAACTTACAAAATAGCAAGGCTATGCCCAACAATATTGCAAGGATGGCCCACTTTCCAAGTTTTACTTCTCCGTCGCCAGACCTTGGATCTATGCGAGATGTGCAGTCATTTTCGGTAACACAGTTGCATACTATGACATTCAATGGAGTGAGATGTGACACGCCATGTCTATCTGTAACTCTGACAGGTACTGTATATTCTCCAAAAGGAGGGTCATTTTGATAGAAAAGTTGTGCTGCTGTACCTGAAAGAAAATAAAACCAAGTGCTATAGAATGTCACTGATTTCTCCTGAACATAAACAACTAGTAATAAGATAGTCAT